TGTGTGTGTGTGTGTGTGTGTGTGTGTGTGTGTGTGTGTGTGTGTGTGTAATGTAATTCTGTACAGGTCACACCTGTAATGCATCGCAGCAATCACATACATCTAGTACACTGTTTGAAGAAGACAAAACAACTAGTAAATAGATAAAATCATTGTCTCTCCTTTAGCACTAGACATTCACTGAAAGCCTACCTGAACACAAGAGCTGGAAGCTTGTCTTCTTGTTTCAACTTGTCCAGCAGTCTAACAATCTGATGACTCAGAAATTTTTCACCAGTGATGTCAATATTGTGCTTTTGTTGTTCTTTAGCACAGGTGTCTTGCTGCTGCAGCATGTGTCTGCTCAGCTTTTCCAGAACATGTCTAACCTTCAAGGCAAAAGAGAATAACTTAGTCTAGTAGTTTTACACTGTATACATGGTGATACAACATGCCACAAGTATGGACATGCATAAAGTAGTTTTTTTTTTGTATACTGAAACAAGTCTTCAACTAGAAAGGCCAATATTTGCTTTGGAGCAAATACAGCGATGGGTTCACCACATTTTACGACATGGCAGGGAAAGAATGAGAAACACAAGGGAAAACAATGATTTACATTGATATAACTATAATATGAAGTAACATACAACTAAAACAACAGTTGGATAGCTATTCCCTACTTTATTGGTTAGGATTTTTAATTGCATAATGCAAACTGTTGATTTTCAAAATAAATAAAAAAACGTTCATGCCCCGCATTCCAATGCTGGAGCAGAAAAGCTTGAAATACCTACCAAAACACTTGAATAAAGACATACTGTCAGTATGGAAATGCTCTGTGCAGGTGTTAATCAAGTTAAATCCCAACAGCCAATCAGCAAGAAGTATAGAGGAAAGCTGCATGCCTATTGGTTGATAATGCCCTGCATTCCATTGTGATGACTCATGCCCAGACGTGGTAAACACGGCACACTAACACAGTAATACATTTGCTATAACACAGCCAAAAAACTCAAATAAAACCATTTTAAAAGCCTGTATCACAAAAATTTAAAAAATGCCTAGGGGTATTTGCCCACTGTACCTCCATACCAAATTTCAGGACCTTAGGCCCTAAAATGAAGAAGCTGAATCCATTTAAAAAATGGCAGGAGAAGAAGGAGGAGAAGGAGAAGGAGGAAAAGAAACATCAGAAAAAGCAATATGGGTTCACCACCACTTCGTGGTGTGGTGAACCCATAAATATCACCTTTTCCTTATGATGTTCCTTAAGCCAGGTAAGCAGTTCCTTCTTCAAGTCAGCCTCATATTGCCTGGCCTGTGCCTTTGTGATGAGAAGGTGATCACGGGTGGCAAAGTCACTGTATGTATCAGCTTCTAGTGCCTTGGGAAGAGAAATTAATAAATAATATCATTTTTTTGGCATATAAGGAGACAAGGAAGCGGAGTGGGCTTGGTAAACTACCTTTGTATAATGGTGCAAATATCATGAGCTAAGGTGAGTCAAATCTCCAGTTGGTGGTGCTTGAACCACACTGTTACAGGTGGTTAAAATTGTCAAGATGTGCTCACGGGAGCCACATACATGTACCAGTAACATGCGCTACTTGAGAAGTCCATACAACAGAACGAAGTTGACCTCTTAAATGATTTGAGATCTTGACAATATACTATTATAGTGGCAAGAATTGAGACCTTTTTTTCTTACATACTCCATCTCTCAGAAAATGGTGAAAGCTTCTTTCATAGAACTACTGTAACATCACTGTGAAACAAGCTTCCTTGTGAATGCTTCCGTAATGGTACTACCTTACACTTTTCAAGTCTAAGGTAAACAGAAAATCTTCACAGTCCAGCACTCAAAATATGTAATTATTATGTGAGTGATTCCTTGATTATGACCGGTACAATAGCTCAATTGGTAGAGTGCTCGCTTTGTAACCGGGAGGTCGTGAGTTCAAAGTCGATCTTTGGTATGACCTGGCCAGGGTTTGAAGTTCAAACCCTGGCCAGGTCATACCAAAGATCGACTTTAAAAATGGTACACACTTCTTTCTCTGCTTAGACTCAGCACATATGAGAAAGAGTGTGGGAAGGTCAAACACACAGCACTACCAGCGGACTAGCCCCCTGCTGTAGTGCATCACACAATTGTGTGTTGCCCAAGGGCTACGAAATGGAGATGGGTACCCTACACTCGGGCAAGAGCATGGGAGACCTTCTTCCTCTTCTTCTTCCTTGATATGCAACTTTTGGAAAACCAGTACTACCTTCCAATTGTGCATCAAATTTATATTGTTACAGCATATATGTGATTCAGCACATACATGTAGAAGGTACATGTACCTTTAAGCTCTCTCTTTCTGGCCAGACTTGTGCCATTGTGTCATACAGCTGTAGTGTCTCCCTGGGTGACAGAGTCAAGTCCCGAGGAAACGCTCCATCAGGGTTATCCAGGTTGTCCTGGAGCTGAGGGAAAAATACATTACCCAATTAATGCTGATGTAACAGGCAGTTAGGGTCGGTGGAATTTTGCTAGGGTCACTTGTGCTGGACACTTGTAAGGTCAGAGTACAGAGACTGGCTACCTCCACAGAGATCACAAATAACTGGCCGTAGTACTAGAAACAGCGAGATGCTAGACTGTCCGAGAGCAAGAACGAATAGATACAAGAACTCGCCTATACCGTTTATGGTCCAGCTCCTCAATAATTATGGACTGAACCCCTGACTGTTGTCTTTTTGTAGTACACTGTTCTGTATCAAATGTTGTCTGGGAAATTTATAATGTATGAAACATGTATTTTTTATTGGTTTGTTAATCGTACACCTATATTGATTGCAAACCTGTAGTTTTAATATTATATAATACTAATGTTTTGTAAATTGGTTTACAATTCAGTTGTTTTTAACTGCGAAGAACCAATAAATCCATCTTGAATCTTGAATCAGTTGGGAAACTGGAAACACAACTGTTACATTTTTTTCCGAGGCCTACATTTGTTAGTACCTGTTTCACAGTCAGGACAGAGTAGGGGTGCATGGGAACAAGACTGTCTTCAGAGTTGGAGCAGGGCAGATAGACAGACTTCTCCAGGTCAGAGTAGCGTTCTCCATACACAACTGGTTATGAAAAGTCAAGATGCATTTGACATCAATACATCTTAAAGGCAGTCTACTATCTACTAGAATAATTTTGGCACCAAAATGTGATATATTCTGATTTTTAAAATTTCCATTCAAATTAAGATTTGCAAATTTTCAACATCCCCACATCATTTTTCCCATTACCAACATTTGTAAACAAGGTAAAGGCAAGCTGTGCAAAGTTTCCCATTATTTGGTAACCTATAAAAATCACAAGCCATAGAGGTCCTTTCTGCATTTGTCCTGTCACAACTATGCAGGTCCGCATAGGCAAAATCCAAGAATAATTGCTAGGTATCAAGCAGTGAAGTGTGAAAAGGAGTAAGACATTGTCAGCTCTATGTACATGTACATGTTGGAAAGCCCATTCTGCCAATGTGAAATGAACATTTCATCCTGAAATTCAACATGCAATGTAGCTGCATTATTAACCAATTGTCATTTGCATACTTGTGACTGAACACCGTAGACAGTTATTGACATTCATATTGGAAGTATGCATCTTCAGTCTCAAGAATTATGTTATTACATGTGCAGCACAACACATATGCTGTGAATATTGATATGTAGTGTAGTAAGGTATATAATATTTATGCTTATCCATAATACATGCCATTAAGAAATAGTTATCGTTTTACACAATAACTACACAATGCATTTTATGCAAAATCACTAAAACCAATATAAAACAATACATTATGGGCATTTTTGATCAGTGAAAACATGACAAATGTATTTTTACAACACATTGGGTCTGTCCATGGTGCTGAAATGTTGGTATGTCTCCCTCAGAAGTATTTTAATCTTTTGGTTAATCTTGTTCCTTCTATTTGAGCATGTAATTGATGGCAAGTTCATTGAGCTTCAAATACATTTAATTCTTCTAAAATGTTTAGCAACTAGGGATACATATACGTTGCATCAGGTACAGGTACAGGTACAAAGGATCAGGTACAGGTCCAGACTTGAACCTTTACCTAAACAATTTGACCAATTAACATGATCTGAACTCCTTCAACAACGAGAAAAATATTAATCATGAACTTGACAGTTATGACTTTATATGAGCAGGTTTTTGTTTATGGAGAATATTCATGCAAAATATGGGCAAAACTACATGTAAGATGTTTTGTTTTCATCTTCTACCAAGTGGCCTCATGCAATTCAAACCTGACCAAAGTGACATCTAGAGGGAGCGTAACTAATATGCAACAAATCTTTCAGTGTGTAACACAAACACACAGTTCTGTCTCTGGGACCCATGGGGATAAGCTATTTCCCTATTTTAGGTCACAGATAAGCATATAACTAGTGTAACTCTATACAGGTACATTATACAAGTACCGGTACTGAGGGATTAGGTATTTTGGACCTGTACCTAATCAATTTTTCCGGTACAGAATCGGTACAGCGTACTGATACACATCCCTATTAGCAACTATTGGAGATTATCACAAAGCTAGAAGATGTCAACCGATCAGGAGTCCCCATTTCATATGGTCATTAACACTTGTTTTTGTTCTATCAGTCCCTCGTAGCTTACCTAACCGGACATTATACGACTGTGGGTGGGCTTTTTTCCTCTGCTTTGCCTGACCATCCAACTGTTTTTGAAAGTCCTTTGCAGACTGTAGCCAGCTGGAAGATGGAAAATAATAAATAACACCTTGATGTGTTGATCAATATTAATTCTTTCTTAAATTACATTCTGAACACAGCACATATCAAGTACCAGTATGTACATTTGCACATTTGTAAATGTTACCTCGTGTTAAAGAGAACATTATACCGGATAAAAAGGATAAAAGGCACTTACGTGAAGATTGGTATGAATGCAAAATAGAATAGATGATAAGAGAAAGATGGGTGAGTTTTTTCTACCTGCTGGACAATTCAGTGGAGAAAATAACCATTGCAAGCAAAATATCTAACTACAATATTGTGCCCCTTTTAATGATTTTTAAATCATTTAAAAATGATTTTCATGTACATTCTGACACGGACATCCAATAGTGTTATAGAAGAATATGTACAAGAAGTTAATACATGACTGTATTAGAATGTGGGGTTGTGTGGTGTAACAGCAGAGTGCACAACTCGGAACAAGAGGCCCCGGGTTCGAGTCCTGACATGCCACCAAACTTGTGCCCTTGGGAAAGGCACTTACATGTAACACTTAACTCAAGTGAAAATGAGTATTGTCTGTCCTGTATTTGTTTCTATGCATGGGACACAACATCAGCAACAGCTGCCTAAGTTGTCCAACACGTAATTTCAATAAATCAAATATCACAATACCCTTGAAGGTCCTGTGGGTTAGATATTGTTGCAGACAGAGCCAGGAAAGGGCAGGGGACCAGCAGGAGCAGGTGTTCCCACACCTCAGCTCCTATCTCTGAGCCCATGCAGTGGACCTGGAAAAATGTACATCCAGTTACACTGTAGCTGGGTGCACATTCCAGTTCATTCCTGATTTTAATTCCAGGCTGCTACATATTGACCTTGTCCATGGAAAAGTTCTGAAGCAAAACAACTGTATGTAGGAAGAAAGGTCATCCCTTCAGCTACAAGCACAATTAATTATACATGTACATGTAATAAGGTTTGTTTTCTTCAGCATCTCTATAACTTAAGTAACTTTGAAGGAAAAACATTTTCATGTCAAAAATAATGTGCTACATGTAGTTTTCGTGTAGTCCAACTGATGAGTCAAACTTATTATTACATGTACTAAATATTATTTATTATTAATGATAAGCACTTAGAGAGAGACAAAATCGTGGGCCTAATAAAGTCAATCATAAAGAAAATTGGAGTACATGTACTGTACACAGCTTTAGTGTGGAAAACACACAACAGTTTTCAGCCATAAAGGTTGTGTACAAAAAAAATGTGAATTCATACCTAGACTGAAATAGAGCCTATTTGTTTATACTGAGTAAAAACCCTTTCATTACGTTTTGACCATACCATGGATTTCTGTCATGGAAGAACTGGGGTGTGCAATATTAATTTAAACTGACGACCGGCCAGATAATCATGTAAAATGTAGGGAAATGCCAAATTCATAACAGTAACTGTTCATTTTATGTTAAAGTAGAGAAACATTCTCAGAACCCATTTTACTTTGAGGGGCTACAAATAGTACAATCTTTATGTCATATTTTTGATTCTAAGGAATTTTCTGTTGAAGAAAGCAATTTTGTAGCTTGTTTTAAGATAAATGAAATCAAATATTATTACTTTTCCCCAAGGCAAAGGTGATTTTATTTTGTACACAATTTACATGAAAACTTACTTCATCAAATATCACATAGCGAATTTTCTGTGCCCACTTCTGGCGGTGAGGAGCGAGTAACAGGATTTCCAAACATTGTGGAACTGTCACCAGGATCTAAAGGAGGAAGATAAATAAATTTGATCATCTGTCATTCTTGACACATACAAAGGGTACAAATGTCGCATGAGGATTGAATAATAAATTGTTTATAAATTGTTAAACTTTTAAAATTAAGTGCATGTACTTCAATACATTTGTATAGAATTGTAGTATCTTAACTGTTAATATTGGCTCAGAGGATCATTCATTATCCAAGGCAATATACATTGTAGAACATCATAAAACTGTGATACACAGTTATGATCTACATATGATCTACTAGTAACAGTATAGCTATAATTACAATGTTCCTATTCTAACAGGTTAGTTTATAATGTATTCCCAGGCTCCCACACCTGAGAGTTGAGTGCATTATGCCTGTAGTCCCTGGTGAACACGCCGTACACAGACATCCCATCTGGCATCTTCTTGTTACTGAAGCGAGCGTACACAGTGGCAGCTACTTGGTTCACCAGTGCCTGTAGGGACAGGAAACTTACATGTACATGTGTGCTTTTCTTGTTCTAAAGATACATGAACTATTTTGATGTTAATTTTGGCAAGACAATTAATTTTGGCACTTGTGCCTCATGTTTGTATTCTAATTGTCTCCATACTATATTAAAATATAGTATGGCAATTTCATGGTTTACTAGTACTAGTTTAGGGCTGTCTAGAGGACACACTAACTGCATTTGACATTTGCATTTGCTGTCAAGGCACAGAACTACATCAATGTACATGTGAGACAATGTAGGAATTATTGACGTTTTGGCTTTGGATGGCTGAAGTACATGTAAATGAAAATCAATTATATGAACAATAAGATTGATGGATACAGTATGTCATGTAAAACAAGCAATTTCTTTCCAGAAGCCCTACAGCATCCATACCTTGGTTGGGGAGACGTAGACAACAACACCATCATCCCCATCTCTCAGCACCTTCTCCATACAGTAGTAGGAGGCGTAGGTTTTCCCAGAGGAGGTTGGAGCTACAATCAGGGCTGACTCATTGTTGTCCACGGCATCCAGCAGTTCTCTCTGGGAATATGGAACAAGTCATGTGTCAAAACCAGGATACGTTCGTTAGAGATTGCAGTTTTTATAGTTACAGCAAGGACATTATAATGCGGGGTGCCCTAATTCCAACTTACCCCTAATTCCGTACTAGTTTGAAAAATCATTGTCCCCGCACTATGCATGGGCGCATGTGCCTATAAATACCAACAGAAACGGACAAAGTTTCTGTGTTGATAACGTTAATCCCACAAAGTTTGGTCCAGTTCGCACACTGCGACAACAGACAAGTGAAAAATCTGTTTGAATTTGATGCTTAAAAAAAGCTGCTTTGAGTTTGAAACAGCCGCTTTGGAGCAAGTCGCGTAATAGTAAAAAGAAAACTTGTTCACCCCCATGAAACTCCTTCCTCTTCGCCCCCGCCGTTCTGCTTCGCCCCCGCCCCGTTCTGCTTCGCCCCCGCAAAAAATCTGCTTCGCCCCCGTCGTTCCTCTACGCCCCCGGCGCAATTCTGCTTTGCCCCCGTCCTTCTGCTTAGCCCCCAATGGCGGCACAGCTCACAGTCGACACAAAAATCGTCTGCAAAATAACAATAAAGGCTGTGCCGCCAAATTTAAAGTAGCCCATGCTCCGGCAAACATTCTGGACCACCTTTCTGCCAAGTGGCGTTGCACAAATCCTTCCCATTCAAAAGTTTACCCCTACCTCACGGCCCGTCAGTGGTTCTTACGTTTATAAGTACTGGCGGGAAATTTCACTCACGGCTGTACTTATAAACGCCAGTACTTATAAACGTAAGAACCACTGACGGGCCGTGAGGTAGGGGTAAACTTTTGAATGGGAAGGATTTGTGCAACGCCACTTGGCAGAAAGGTGGTCCAGAATGTTTGCCGGAGCATGGGCTACTTTAAATTTAGCGGCACAGCCTTTATTGTTATTTTGCAGACGATTTTCGTGTCGACTGTGAGCTGTGCCGCCATTGGGGGCTAAGCAGAAGGACGGGGGCAAAGCAGAATTGCGCCGGGGGCGTAGAGGAACGACGGGGGCGAAGCAGATTTTTTGCGGGGGCGAAGCAGAACGGGGCGGGGGCGAAACAGAACGGCGGGGGCGAAGAGGAAGGAGTTTCATGGGGGTGTTGTTTGGGACAGAAAAATAGTTGTAGATTGTTTTAATCATAATTTGTGTAGTTTAAATACTAACTCTCTCCTCAAATTGACCTTTCTTAAATACTAGGTTGAAATTACATGTAGGGCACCCCTTTTGCGATAGAACGTTCCACTGGCAAAATGACGAAAAACCTGCCGCAAGTTTCACAAACCATTACGCTTGGGTGCAAGGCGCTGCACTGAAGTGAAATACACAGCTGTGCAGCTTTAATCGTTGTGATCTTTATCTGTAAATATCAAAGCTCCTGTTGCGCTGGTTTTTGGTGAGACAAACTATTACCAAAGGTATGTGCATTTGTATGTAAGTTATAATATATAACATACATGTAGGTCGGAATTAGGACCCCTACCGGTATATCCTTGGTTCACATAGTAAGACATAATGTATGAACTCCACTCACCTGCCATGTATCAGGGATGAACTGTTGCACCCTGGGATCAGCGTCCTCTCTCCCCTCCCTCTTCAGAAGGTGCCCCATGTGCCGGAGCTGGAACCTGTTACTGCTCATCTGTACTGAACACCTCGTGTCTTCATCCTTACTCTTAGTCTGAGGAAAACACATCAAAAGTGTATATTTTCATCCATGAAACTCTTGCAACAAGATGATGATGATTTGCCTCACAGACCAAGCCACTAACTTTAAACAAAAATAGCATCACTATACAGTCAAACCAGCCAAGATGTCCACCTCTTGAAGCTGGCCATCTGGCCATGCTGACCACTTTTTCACAAGAATTTTCCCCATTGACGCAAGCATTAAGCAACCTGTCCAAGGTGACCACCTGGTCAACGCGACCGCGACTGCCCCGATACCTGCTCATGGTGACCACATCATTTTTGATCGTGTTGATTATCGATGATAACTAATGAGAAATCATGGAGAAACCAGCCAGTTTGCCCCAACTGCTGGATGATGTTTTCCAGTTTGACATAAATTGTTCCATGTGCCACTCTCCCCACATGCATTCCTCTCAGAACTGAAGATGCATTTGACATTAAAACATCTTGACTTGGAAACCATTTATGTCAAAGTCATGTTGTGAGGTGACCCTCTAAAAGGAGACCACCTGTCCAAGGTGACCACTTTTCTTTGGTCCCCTGGGTGGCTGGCTTGGACAGGTTTGACTGTACGCAATGTAGCCTTGACATATACCTATCAATGCTACATGTACATATTATAACATAGTTTTATCTACAAAAGGTAATTAAAATCAGTCTGTCATCAAAGTTGAATGAATGAATGAATGAATGAATGAATGAATGAATGAATGAATGAATGAATGAATGAATGAATGAATGAATGAATGAATGAATGAATGAATGAATGAATGAATGAATGAATGAATGAATGAATGAATGAATGAATGAATGAATGAATGAATGAATGAATGAATGAATGAATGAATGAATGAATGAATGAATGAATGAATGAATGAATGGACGGGCGGACGAACGAACGGACTGACGGACGGATGGACGGACGGACGGATGGATGGACGGACGAACAAATGAATATAAATGGTTTCCCAAAGTTGTAAGTTACATGATTGTACATACATGTACCTTTAAACCATCAGGTACCATGTCCTGCTCAGACCCTTCAGATATTACAATGTACCCTTCCATGTCAGACAGTCCCAGGAGCCTGAGTGCACCTGCCAGTTCTTGTCTCTGCTTGGATCTCAGGTGCTGCCCATATTTATCAACTATGTCAGACACTGTTTGAACAATGTCCACAGCAGTGTTCAGATTAGGTTTCCCAATGTCACCTGTCAACAGATTGAAGTAACATTCAGTTTGATCATGATAGTAGATTCCTTTTAAAAGTGTCAGGTCCTTTGTGAACATACACAATCATGTAGTTTGAAAAAAAATTGGTCACAGTACTAGTAACCTTTTGAAAGTGCAGTGCTACAGTGTTCACATTCAGCTATACAAAAATTTTATAATTTCAAAAAATGTGAGTAAAACCTGTAACTTCTGTATTTATATAGTACATGGTTTGATGTGAGTACAAAAAGGAGCAAAATAGGATGATTGGTGATCTAATTGATTTTTGCTTCATAGTTCTTTCCATTTTGTTCCATTTCACTCCTTTTATCACTTTCTGTATACGACAGTTTGGCCACAGTTTGGCAATTTCTAATCATATGTACACTGAGAGAGAAGAAAATATTGTTAAAAGGCGTCATTTATCAAAAATAATATAAACAAGAATTCGGAGATCTCATACCTCCATGAGTTTTTCTAAATGTTTTTTACACAGTACACTACAGTACAGAACGAAATAACACACGTCAGGTTTTTGGTTTCAAACACACAGTAGCACCTTTGGCCTGGATATGGTCATGTAGGCTTTTCCCGTGGGAGAACCTCATTAATCAAAACCAGGCAGGTGCTGCCTCCACCCGCACATCTGTTTTCCCTGCCACCCCGCACATCTGTTTTCCCTGCCACCCCACACATCTGTTTTCCCAGAAGTTCTGCTATTTGACCTTGACCTTTGGCTTCCTAAGACCTACCAGCATACCAAATATCATCACAATCCATAAAGGCGTTCTGAAGTTATGCTGACTACAAATGTGCGGAAACACACACACACACACACACACACACACACACAGACGTGCCAAAAACAATACCTCCATTTTTCACGGAGGTAATGACATACTAACCTGCACTGTCTCCTTTTGTACACTGGTCCCTCCACATGTCTACCTTGTGTTGGAGAATGGTGAGTTGTGCCTCGGTGGCGACATGTGGTACCTGCTCACGGCTACACTTCTCAACAAACGTCTCAAGCTCACGGATGGACTTGACAGCTTTGCTGCTCTCCAGGGATGTCTTCAAAGTTTGCCATTGTTGAAGCATCTGTGTCGCTTTTGTTTCTGATAACATTTCAGCATGACCATAATTGATCAGATAATGTGACAGTGCTTAGTGATCACATACATGTAATGTCTACTGCCGCCTTCTAGAACCTCGATTAGCGGCAGGACGACTCGCTCATCCCACAAACTTGACTCTGTGTTCTGTAGAACTGAAAGATATAGATCTAGCGCGATTCCCTACATGATTCGGATGCTGAATTCCTAGCTTTTACTTCAGAGTACGCATTTTAAATATATATTTTACTATTCATAATCGTTTACCCTGTCTGTAATTTATGTGTACATCTGATATTTTAAATGACCGACCTTTTAACGTATCTTATATTAATGATTAATGACGTATAATGATTTTAATGTGAGCTAACTTTTTATTAATTAATCAATTGTAATTGGCAGAGCACTTCAGGTCCCAATTACATGGAACCTGCCTTTCTGTGCAAGTGATGAATGACGAATAAACCATTATTATGATGCCACAACACAAGCTTATATATTAGATGACCTCATTCCATGGCATAAAGTATGGCAGGTGTTATAATCAAATAAAGAAAAAATAAATGCATTGAAGTACTATATGAGCAAAGGATTACCACTCAACATTCCATCAGTAATATTGTATCACACATGCAGAGATATTAATTTTTCTTGGATGTGCAGCCGACATTTTTATTCCAGGAACTGAGACCAGTCTGGATTCTCTGTGGCTGATCCAATTTATATTGCTGGGGGTGAATTTAGTGACTTCTGCTGATCCTCTAATCTTTAGTGTCAGGTTTGGTCGTCCCCTTTTCTGTTTGACATCAGGTTGCCAGAGGAGGACTTTGGAGGCATCTCGCCACTCCATTGGCCGATTATTCTCCCTATCTAGCTTAAGTCCACTGCTTTTGAACCCACATGGCTAGTTTGGTCCAGGAGATTCAGTGATACTCTTGATAACACCTTCTTACCTTCTTCTTTTTTCTTGGCTGCTTCAATGATGAGATCTTTCTTTGATTTCTGAAAAAAAGTGGTATGCATAATTATCTAGGCCTGTTTTTTTCCGCCCTGCTACTTGATATTTTTTCTGAAAAAAATCCAAGAGCCAACAAATTAAATTGGTGTGGATGTGCGACACATAACCTTAAAGGTAAAGTCGAGGTAATGTATCTTGGCATGTGATCTTGCCCTGTAACTCCTATCATATAAGCAAGTCTATCATATAACCACAAATTTTCAGAGGATGATGCACTAGTGAAATCATGAAATCAAATCATAACAACAACTCTCAGACTGGTGTTAGTATGACAAAATATGATGTCATTATGATCATGTCATTTTATTGGCTAAAATCATCTTGTACAAATGTAGGCTATTAAAATACAAATCTCAGAGGTATTCAATAAAACTTTTACAAAAAGTGTGTAAAAACCAGGCTGAGTGCAGGTTAGGTGCCGGCATCAGAAATACCCGCACATACATTTGTACACATGTACAGCTCCAATTTTACCTGACCTGCATGCATATGCAGGTGGTACATGTATTTTCTCAGACCTTATGACACACATACCTTAACTGTCTTCTGCTTGGCTGTCTTTGCCATTTCTTGACGCTCTTTCTTCTTCCTCTCTTTCTCTTCCTGCTTTTGGTCAGACTTCTCACGAACAACAATGGGAACCTTTCTAAAACCTGGTCCCTCTAGCGACTCTCCATATGACTGCATGTGTCTAAGTGATTCAGATAAAGAGGTGATAAAGAGAGTAACAACAGACTTTACTGTAAAAGTAATATTATTGTTGTTTTGTTTTTCTTTTTGCTTACTCATAGATAGGTAACCTCTCATACCTGCTAAACTTCTGCTTGTCTTTCAAGACCTTCCTCCTCAGCCAGGGGTCAGTTGGCAATTGTTCTGCAAAGAATTATTTCAAGGGGGAATCAACAACAGAGGCCTGTGTTATTTTCCAAAAGACTACATTTTTATCAAAGCAAAATCAACTAAATATGTACAATTTCATGACAGGGAAATGAAACAAATCCAGATCTTGATGGAGTAGTACAATTTGTACTAAATTACATATATAAAAGATTCAATTTGACTTGTAAACTAAGTCACTACAGTAACTGTTTGCCAAATATGCTACTAACTACATTGTCACATCAAGGCATTGTGTCATATAATGTCATATTTTTCTTTGTGCAGAGCTTTAGTACCATGATTGAAGGTATCCTTGGTGTTATCATAATCATCAGCAAGGGGCTTCCCAGAATGCCAATGATAGGTCTCATCAAAGTCTTGATTCTCAGTGATGGCAGCAGTCACCTCTCTGTCTGTCCTGTATAGTGGCAAAAGGTTACCCAACACATTGTCTTAAAAACTGCATTAAGGATCAGTCCAATCTAACCATTATTACAAAAATCACAATTCCCACCCTAAACTTTGAATAGTCAAACTTCCCCAACTGACCACCTCTATAAGCCAGTTATATCTGGCCAAAACAACTGTACAGTTTTTCCTTGTTACTGATTTTCCCCATAGACACGAGGATCAAGAGACTTGCCTAAGCCGACCACTTGTCCAACACTTACCACGACCCACCCTATCTAGGTGGGACCGCACACACCTAATCTTTGCCAAAGAGCTATCTACCATCTAAAATTCGTGACCCTAGCATGTCTAGAGCACGAGATATCAAAACCGGAAGTTCTACTGCAGTACCTGGGAAAGCCGCCAGGGGGCCCAAAATCTAATCATTTTTAGATCTCATGAAGACCTACATACCTACCAAATTTTATAACAATTCATCTAAAGCTTCTTGAGTTCTCGTGCTAAACCACATACATACACACAAACACACACAAATGCTACTGAATACATAACCTTAAAGGTAAAAATGATGACATTGGGTGGAAATTTTGCTGCAGTTTGTCTTGATCTATATTTTTTGTATAATAAGACTACTAAAGTCTTGTCTAAAAAGACCACTTTTTCTCCGCCCCTTGGGTGGTCATCTTAAACAAGTTTGACTAACACTCAACAACTCTGAGGATTAGACTGTTAACTCTTCTCCTTGTTACCATGGCCAATTGTCATACAGGCAGTTGAATTAAAAAGCCTAAAATAAACTAGACATGGTCTGTGTCACATGACTTGTTATACATCATGATCATTCATACAGATATTTTAGAGAACATTTGGAAGAATATACCTGTCAAGGTGTGGCAGACAGTTGTTCACATTTCCAGCAAAAGCATCTACCAGCTTATTGGACACTGGGAAGAATGCAGCTCTGCTGTGGATGCCCAGAGCTTCAAGTTCATCTGACACTGAAAATTCAGTAACAAGAATTTGAAGATCTCACACATTCACATTGAGTTTTTGTAAATGTCTTGTATTACTCATCAGCAAGTAAGGCCACACCAATTTAATTTCTTGGTTAACGGATTCGCCGCTTCATTTTTTTTCTGATTTGCAAATAAAAATAAAAATTCAGAATCAACTGCAAAATGCTCATATTTTGCCCTGAACAGTTGAAAACAGTCCTTTTCTTACTACATGTTACAGTCATTCCATCTTTCAATGCAGTCATTAAAAGTTCAAAATTCATTATTTAAATTTTGGACCAGAATGGTGTGTTGACTTCATGGCTCCTATCGTACCATTTTGGGCCATAATAGGATGCCTAGGCCTGTTTTTTTTTTTTTCGCCCACCCGCTCCATTATTTTTCTAGAAAAATCTGTTAACCAAGAAATTAAATTGGTGTGGCCCAAGTTTCCAATTAACAATTAAACTTATGTTCATTGAAGGTCTCCACCACCAGTAGCATTGAACATTACCGAGTATACTGGCAGTTTAATCTCCAAGTAGATCTTACAGTGGCAAGGCAGTATCCATTGGCCAAAGAGTGACTATTAGCCTAATGGTCACTCTTTGGCCAATGGATTGTTACCTCCTTGCCGCTGTAGGATCTGCTTGAAGATCAGGGCAGCTGTCAGCTGGTCTTCACACCACATTTCCATGCAGATCCGTGCTGCACACTTTGATGTATTGAAAGATCATAATCAAAGTAGCTCTCTACAGCAGAAGTGGGTATTATGATTCATCAGAGAAGAAATTGTTATGCTGGAATCCACTTTGTGGTGTCATATTTACCATAAGTTGAAGTCTGAATACAGGGCGAACATTATAGCGATCCAATCCGTAAAAACCCCAGAAAGACCCTTTTGGCAATCCCAGAGTTCAATGCACACTGTGTGTTGTTGAAAGGTCAATCGTCGTTCAACAAAAAGTGCCCAAATCTTTGTATCCCAAGACAGGCTTAGGTTTTCAATGTTTTGTGAACCTTCCTAAATTCTAAATGTATGATAGTCACTTGAATGTTGCTGTCTATTGTTAACAATTAATCGTGCCCGAAGTTGACCAGACAAGCGTATACAGGACTGTAAAATAGAAGCGGGTCTGTATGCAGGTACATGGATTTAGAAAAGGATTATTATTCTGTTGAAAAGACAGCTGAGGTAATTCAGTCAAAAGTCAGGTGCCTATGTATCCCCAAAAATATTATCATTATCTATCAGAAAATAATACCCGCTTCTTGAGTGGAGAGACCCTTTAGGCTTATGACCCAACCCAAGGTGTGATAAGGCCTTGTAAGTTGCCATGAACACTGAATAAAACCCCATGACCAATATGACATGGGGACGTCTCATTGATCAACGTCATCTGCTATGGGATACTTAGTCTAGCAAAAAGCTCATAGCAATCCATCAATATCTTCCTATTAATTATGCTGCTATGGCATTTACAAATGCTACCAAAATATAACCTTCTTGGACCACGTTTGGATCATGGAGGACATACACCCTATAGTTACCTGAATTAGCAGTGTGTTCCTTTTGTTCTGCAGAGTGGTCCTCTCTCTCTATTCTGCCAACTGGCGAAGCTACGACAGGGAAGGCAGGGCTCAGTTCTGACTCACTGATGTCGGTTACAATGTCCCACAGTACTTCCAGCTCACAACGAACATCTTCTGACAGCAGAGATGCTAGAAAACAGAAGATACTCGTTAATTAATAAAAACAGCAAGGCAGCACCAACAGCGTTCTCAGCACCAAGGACAACATTCAAACCTCACATACCATGTACATTAACTTTGCAAAAGAGCTTTGGCATTAAACCATTTACATTTACATTTTACAAAAACTAAATGGGACCTTTAAAGCCAGAAAATGTGCAATGTATGAATGACTGTTCCCACCCTGCTGTCCTCTGCTGTGTGCGTCCAGGATGAAATAGGACAGCTGCAGGAATAGCCGTCCATCCATGATATCTGACAGGAACTTTGTCTCCATCTCACCAAAGTACCCGACCCTGCTGCACTCCTCTAACATCTCCACCATGCAGACTTGAACCTGAGAAGGATTAGTGATATACAAATATATACCAATATAATACAAAACACTTTACAACAGGGGAGGAGAAACTGCGTCATAAAAATGAATGTGAAATGTAGTATTCCATCATAAAATGTACATGTATTGAATGATTTAGTTTAGAGTTATAAAGAGTTGTTTGCCATAAATTGTACCCAATGCAATTGTTGCACAATAAACTTTGACTTGACTATCATTATCATCATAGTCACTACTATCGGACAATGATGCAGGCCAACACTGCTGTCCACTCTCTTCTGTCCAGCGCTTGCCTGAACGTTGCCATATAACCTGAGATATAACATACCAGAGTTGGTACGTCATTATTACGGTTAAAGTAAAAGAATACATGAAAACTGTTGTCTGATGTTCCCTCTCACCTGCTCCATGACACGTGACAGCAGGTGAACAGGGAATGAGAAGGGAGCCTTGCTGAAGTCCCTGAGCTGCTGAGCTCTCTGTCTGAGTGAGAGGTGCCGCAGCAGCACAATGTGCAGCAGGAAAAAGCGGACAATGTCTTCTGTGACCTGAGGGGAATTAGGAAGGAAAAATCACTGTGAACAAGAATTCGTAGATCTCATACCTCCATGAAATATATGAGTTTTTGTAAATGTTTTTTTTTATTTGTCTCACTGACTATGGAAATAAGGTCGTAATTAGCATAATCTAGTTTAATTTATGGTTTTCTAAATTCAAATGACAATATTTTCGTGTAAAATTCCTCTCCTTTATCATGCTTCATTTCAACATGGCCATTAATTATGCAAATGACCTCAACATTAACATAATGTACCCCAGTACCCCAGAAGTTTGCAAGTTTCCCAGCGTACCTGTGCATCAGCAGTTGTCAGTCGCTGGTCCAGCACCTGTGAACAGGCCACAACTGTTACCACGTCTCTGACACCAGCAGGGAGGGACCGGGCCAGGCTGGAGCTGCTCACTTTCATCAGTTTGGATCTTAACTGAAAATCAAGTAATATGATCAAGACTTAGTCATAAAACGTTTACTGTGTTGTATATTCTGCAATACAGCTGCAGGTACACAGGGATAACTTGTGTTTAACATCATTCTGCAAATGACAAAGTGTAAATATTTCTCATTGATAATGCAAATAAGATACTACTTTTCATGAATTACATCACAAGGTCATATTCTCCAGTGTTATCATAAATATATATATATATAAGGTTATCAGTAGGGTGATGATTAACATAATAAGATGCTAGTTATGCAAATAAATAGCTCATTTACATAATTGGTTAGAAAAGTCTATAAATCTGCTTCATTGTCATTTGTATATATGTATGTGTTTTGATGTTTTGTAACGTTTATGTGTATACTCTCTCCTGGAAGAGTACGTAGCTGTCACCCTCGGATGGGCAGCTAAAGGAGAGTTTTAAACCAATAAACCAACCAATAAATCATTCCAAACATGTGACTGAAAAAGAGAGGAGCATCTGATTCAATAAATACCAATCTTGGAGTCAAATTTTACATTTGTAGGTACCGGTATTTGGCTGAAATATTGTGGACTGGTAATGAAATAAGTTTTGGGTTGTGTCCTGCTTGTACCACAGGTGCCCCACTTAGTACTTTCCTCAAATTAAGTAATGTTACATACATAAGCCTTGGACAATATTTTTAACAGCCTTTAGTTAACTGATACTAGTAATAGCCATTAATACCTAAAATGAAAAAGCATCTGCCAGCTACAGTGGTGCAAGCCAAGTGGGCATGATTTGTGGAAGGGGCATTCTTCAAGTAGCACACTGGGGTACCTTAACGTTCAAAAATAGGTTGCCTCAAGTAAAATTTGGTTGCCCGGGGCAACTGGGCAACCAGGTATTTTGCACACTATGACATGTATGGATGAGGGTTAAACATAATTCATCTTTATTACATAATGCCATGATGATATAGTTACCTGTTCCAGATTTTTGCAGTCTTCTGTCACATTCTGTTGCAGAAGACTTAACATAGAAGGATACTGTCCTTTCTCCCTGTACTCCAAGTATTTCTGAAAATTAGCTTAGTTAGCCTTTTGTCCTTAAAGTAGTTACAGTCTTTACCTATATCAGCCAAAAAAAATCACAGAGGTAGGGAACTAAAAGTTACTGTAGTAAAAATACACTACTTTATAGAAATTTCATAACCATATGAATGTTGTCAGGTGAAAAGAAATACGATTTATCAGAAGAGCATATCAATTGTGCGTAGCTACAAGTCAATAGAACAAAGTCACCAATACAAGTATACAATTTAGAATGCATTAGGTGAAATTTAAAAACAGAAAATTTTAACTAGAAACCATACCTTAGACCACATATTCATAATGTGAGGACGACACTCAATGTAAAATCCATACGCTTTGGTAGCCGTGTGCTCTATTTCTGACATGTACACACAGTTGACTCCTTCACTCAAGACATGCAGAAGCAGTGTCTTAAAAACTGCCAAGACGGCATTCTTGGGTAAACCTAGAGGGAGATTTTGGCAGCCGTCAGAGATGGTAACGAAGGCTGGCCTGTTGTTCTGTAGATACTGGTGCCACTGTGGAGAGTCAGCTGCTGGTATGTTGGTTGTGACTGTGTAGGCTGTGTTCTCCTGGAGATGCTGTATGATCACGTGACGGGCCAGCATCATGGAGGGACAGCTGGTCCACAGCACCTGCATGTCTCTGAAGAAGACAATGTGGAAAATTCCACCGAGCTGATGGAAGGTATGGAGGAACCTCTCAACCAGGAAGATCAAGTGTAGGTACTGTCCTCCATGGCTCCAGTCCAGATTCACCTGGGAACAAGTGTACAGGAGATTTGAGAGTTACATTTGTCTATCCCCTGTTTACCGTTCCTTAAGCCTCGGTCACAACCCGCCATACATGCTTTTTGTCTATACATTTTTTGGGAGGCTACGTCTGCTACGTTTTTTCTGAAAACGTGGGGAAGGAGTGGCATCGACGCACGTCACTCGCACGTCACTCGCACGGTTTTGCAAGGTGTAAGAGTGTGGTCTGCACGCCACGTCTGGCCGTGAGCGGTTGCATGCATTGTACGTTGCTCAAGTGGTAAGTGAGTGGTACGTGCCCTTGCCCACGTTTTTGCACGTAGACAGCACGCAGAAGCACGTACAGCGGGTTGTGACCATAGCTTTAGACTTAAGTTCATCCTGCTGTGCCTAATATATTAGCTGGTATGTCAGGCTTATACATGTAAGCCTTGGAAAAAAATGCTGTGTTTCTGGTTTCCCAACTGATCCTAAAAATCCGCCAACCCTAGCCTTTTTTTTTACACTGGCTATAAAATTTTTGGCCTTACATGTACGTATGAACCATGAACTCTCTGAATTCTGAAACATCACTTAACGCAATAATTATTTCTTTCTCTGGTGAATCAGGTGAAATATTTTTCAGTTCAGCCAAAAACAAAGAATTACATTACACAATTCAAATTTTCCTAGGCCTACATGTACATGTAATAGTACATTACATCTATTAGTCAAAATTATTAATGATATTAAAACCTCAAACATTCAAACATTCAAAGGCAATCAGAAATGAAGAAAATGTCTACCCCTTCAAGGAACATTGCATTGTGAATATGGGAAAATCGTTAACTCATGCAAGAGTTCAGCAGAAAAAACTCAGAAATGTACAAATGTAGGTTCTCGCTTCCACATTACAATTTATGCTTATGAAAAATCTCAAAAAAAGTGAATTTTGTATAAAAGAGATCAGTAATAATAATGAATAATTTCTATATTAATAAGACAATAAAACATTTGACAATTGAAACACATGGAATTATATATATATATATATACAGAATGACATACAGAATTACATAAGTAACGTTAAGTAGTTTCAGCATAATGGTTTTAGACAAAAATCACTAAGCCCTTATCACTAAATACAAACAATGTGTTACTCCCCAATTAAAGATATTTAGAAATGGAGTCACAAAAACCAAGTATGTACAGAAGCGTAACGTGTGTCATACCTCTGAAAGTAGCTCCAGGAGCAAAGAATCACCATCTATGATGAACAGTTCAGAGTCCACAAAGTCATGTAACAGACTGACCCATCTGGATAGAGAAGACAGAAAATTTAGGTTAAAGTTTTAACAAGACTTAGTCTTAGAGGTTAAAATCATCCTATCAAGAACCTGCTGATATCCCCAGATGGTACCCAGGCTAGTAAAATATGTCTGGCGCAGGTAATTTTCCATTTTTTTACAATTTTCTGCACATGAACAAATTATTTCGAGCCCTGTATTCACTGCATGTACACTGCAATATTTCTACGTAACTATTGAAGGTTAGTCACAATCATTATGGCACACGTGACTTAATACAGAAAGAAGCATATCATATTGAACTTGATTTAATTCCCGTCTTTTCAGCACATTGGTAAAGCCGACAAGTCACAACAAGTTGCCATGTAATATATGTCCATGCTGACAAAGGCCGTGTTTATGTGAAGTCACCCAAACCGCGATTCAGGTAACTCACATTCCTCACATCTGGTCCACGTGCCACACACTCCTTTGAAACCATTTCCAATCACAATTTGCCTGAGCTACATTTATTGTTGCTTGATGAAAACACGCAAGGTAGCGTGTTATTAATGTCAGAGGTCAACGACCTGCTTACTGATGCCCCCCTCCCAGCGTATCTTGGCCAAATGCCGTAACGTGGTCCCGCCAAAGGCGGTAAAGCTTGCCCTAGAACGGACACATTACTTTACTATTACTGCTCTTTAAGGTGCTGCCACGTAAAAGTTGGTATTGCATATAAATAAAGAAATCCATGACCAGGCGAAGTTACATTGAAATCACACTGCGTTCAGACGCAAATCGCAATGAGGGAAAACTGATTCGAAACCACCTCTAGAAGTGGTTTGGGATCGAGGCGCTTTCAATGTGATTTGGAGAGTTCAGATGGAGAAACCGACTTCGGGGTAAACCACATGTAAAGCGCCTTGGGTGACTTCACATAAACATGGCCATAGTCCATACTCACTGTGACTTGATGTGGTTATCAGCTGGCAGGTGCTTCAGGCAGATCTTTGCAATAGAACTAATTTCTCCTTCATCCTCATTTTCCATCTCATGATCAGACTCTGACTCTGACTCACTGTCTGCAGAATCTTTGAACAAAATTATAATAAATTAAATTACATTAAATTTTTGATAGGTATTTGTCAGGCAAGAACAAGATAGAAAGGTTACCCAAATTCGACCAAATTAAATATCATTACATTACAATCCATAGAGGCCTTCTTAAGTTATGCAGGCACAAGCAGACCAAAAACAATACATTGTACCTCCATTTATCATGTAGGTAACAAATCAAGAGAGTAACCATGTTTAAAAGTGACGGGTACATGTAGGAGTACTGTCCCATCATCAATAGAAAGCTAGTTCCGCTCCCACCTCGCTCGCCAGCGTCGATCACATGACAAACAGCTACGTATCCCGACTACCCGTACACAATACAGGGGAGGGTCTTTCCTGCCAAAGACTGTAAGGGACTGGAATAACCTTGGTAGTGTAGTGGTGGAGGCACCTACAGCCGACACGTTTGTGTCACGTGCCTCCGCCAGTAACTCAGAGACCTAGCTCTACACTGGGCCCCCCTACGGAACTTGACCCAGGCTACGGAAAAAGGACTACACTACCAAAAATGCTTTTTCTTGTTTTTCTTATTTTCTCATGGGAAGAAAATTTTTCTTTGGGGGAGAATAATAAGAAAAAAATAAGAAAAAAAATAAATTTTCTGCATACCTACGTTCTTGCACCAAGAACAATTTTCTCATTTTTCTTGAGTGGAGATGATTTTTCTAAAATAGGCTTCTTTAAATCTTGGTTTTTCTTTGGTGAAGAAATATTTCTAGAGGAGATTCTAACTTACAAGATTAGAATTCTTTTAATCTTGAAATTTCTTTAGTAAAGAAAATATTTCTAGGGAAGATTCTAAGTTACAGATTAAAATTCTTTTAATCTTAAAATTCTCTCAGACTTAGTTAAACTTTCTTATTTAATCTCCATGGAAGATTTCTTTCTTACCTGACATCAAAGTGGTCAGATTAAAGTTTTTTTTCTTGTGTATGTCGAAAATTTTCTTGTTACCTAGAACGATTGAAAAAGGCCATTCTTGTTTTTCGTAGCAATGTTTAAGAAAATACAACAATTTGGTTCTTGTCTTTCTTGGCAAACACTGATTGGAAAAGCAAGAAATTTAATTATCTACATCTATTATTAGAATAAAGCTCTGCTTAGTGTTTCTTTCTTAAAGTTTCTTGTTTTTCTTGACTAGTAAGCTTAAGAAAGATCATTCTTGTTTTTCTTGGCAACATTTAAGAAAATACAAGAATTAAGTTCTTATCTTTCTTGACAAATACTGATAAGAAAAAAAAAACAAGAAAGAAATAAAATCTTTGATTAGGCTGAAGATATGGCTAGTATTATATTCTTAAACATTCTCGATTTTCTTCCCTAGAAAGTTTAGGAAAGGCCATTCTTGTTTTTCTTAGCAACATTTAAGAAAATACCAGAAACTTTAAGAAAGATGATTCTTGTTTTGCCTGGTATTGTTCAAGATGATGTAAGAACTTTTTTCTTAATTTTCTAGTTTTTCTTGTCATGTGACCTTTTCTGAACCCCTGATTGGTTGATTCAAATCCCAGAATGCAGTTAGGGGGTTTTGAACATAAGTCAGATGTAGGAGCCGCGCTGGTTATTTTTGTCAGTTACTGAGTCTGACTCATGTCAGATTGAAGACAAAATCAAGTTAAAAAGGATCTTGTGTACATGTGAAGCAATGGTGATCGTGGTCAGTTTGCTGAAGAAACCAACTTTGCAACAGAAAAAGCATGAAACCAAACAGATAGAAGGTAAGTGTGCCCCCCTCCCCACCTATAAGATCTGCTGACATTGTTTTTAGACTTCATAGCCCAAATATTGTTTCAATGCCATCAGGGGTTGATTTTAAAGTCAAATCATATATCTCTGGTGTAATGTATAGTAAAGTTTATTACTGCTTTATGATATAATTTTAAATTGTTTACTCCAAGTAATCAAATAGTATTATAGCATCCTCTTTTGATTTTGTTGCCTTCAGTGCACGCATGCAAACTAACGGGTATTCGGACTTAGCTGCCCTGCCCGGTCCACCTAAACCGCTGCCCGGTCCGGTCCGAGGCCGCTAATGGGGGTTTTGCGTATCCCATGCGCCGGAGCAAGCATTTCGCTCCCGGCGCAAGGACTCGGTTTGCTAGCTGAGGACTTTCCACAACCATGATGATATCATACTTAAATAAAGGAATATATAATAGATCTATCATGTTGAAATGATAATTGTAATACATGGTTCTATTT